CGCCGTTACATGTGAGGGGAGAAAAGCTATCTCCCTCTGTTGCTTCGTCAAATTTGAAGGCAGAGAAGTACTACGGTTAGGAAGAATGTTCTAGAAAAGTCTGTCCAAATTGGTGGTCCAAAGGAACAAAATTAATTCTTTCAGTATAGGATTTTTTAGACTAGAGCAGTATGTCCCAGTTGGTGGTCCACAGAACACATTTAATTCTTTTAGTGTAGGATGTTCTAGACTAGAGCAGTCTGTCCCGGTTGGTGGTCCACAGAACCAGGGGGTCCGCAAAACAAATTAAATTTTTTCAGTAAAGAATGTTCTAGACTAGAGCAGTATGTCCCAGTTGGTGGTCCACAGAACAAATTTAATCCTTTCAGTATAGAATGTTCTAGACTAGAGCAGTATTTCCCAGCTGGTGGTCCACAGAACCAGGGGGTCCGCAAAACAAATTTAATCCTGTCAGTATAGAATGTTCTAGACTAGAGCAGTATGTCCCAGTTGGTGGTCCACATAATCTTGGGGTCCGCAAAACAAATTTAATCCTGTCAGTATAGAATGTTCTAGACTAGAGCAGTATTTCCCAGCTGGTGGTCCACAGAACCAGGGGGTCCACAGAACAAATTTAATCCTTTCAGTATAGAATGTTCTAGACTAGAGCAGTATGTCCCAGTTGGTGGTCCACATAATCTTGGGGTCCGCAAAACAAATTTAATTCTTTCAGTAAAGAATGTTCTAGAGCAGCTGTCCCAGCTGGTGGTCCACAGAACACTGGGCTCCGTGAAACAGATTAAACTCTTTCAGTACTAGGGACCTTGACATGCGTTTACTGGTTACCAGCTCTTTTATCCCCCTAGAAAAAAGGTGCTGGTACTGAAATTAAAAAGTCCCTGCTGGTTACTCTTTACCTCCTGTGCTTTTCTGAACCCATTATTCCTCTTCCTGTCGGCAATGTAGTCAGTTGCTACCCATCAATCATCCTTAGCCGCACAGGGTTACACCTGGGTGGTGTAGCTGTTACAGGCACACTATAAATTCTTACAAGGTTGAACATCTGTATGTCTTGTTGGTGTGCCTTTCAGACTGAGATTTTTCACCAGATTGAGATATTCCAATTTAGACCCATTGCCAGATGTCCTGTCATTAAATACAACACTAAGATCAGGCTTGTACATGCATACATAGGCGACGTAGCCTTTGGGCTCAGGCGACCTGAGCCCCCCCCCCCCCCCCCCCCCCCACCACAATTTTGTACTACAAAGACATCCCCTCTTTAATCATGTACAGAAATTTTCTTTAAAAGCATTTGTTTACATATTTCATATTATTCAAGTATTTTATTTATAAGTATTTGCCATTCAGCACATTAATAACAAATTTGTTGAACTGCAAATAAATGAAGTAATCTAAAATATATACTTTAAAAGATAACTTCTATACACAGTTCAAGACGGCATCTTAGCAACCTTCCAAAATTACTGAATGGCAAAGGGGCTCAGACTAATTTCTTTTGTGTGGGAGCAATCACTCAAGGACCTAACCCCATCTCGATTATTTACCTAGGAAATTTGTAAGACGGGGTGTGGTGGTGGCTGAGTTATTCCCCCACCCCCATATTTTTTTGTGGCAGCGAACAAGTTAAAAGCTGCAAGTATCAATAAAACAATTGCAAGCACCAGTAGTATCTCTGTTGATTACTGCGGACATAGTTTGTCAATCGAGTACATCCAGCAGAATATTCAGGAACTTAAAGAGCACAAGACTAAGCTGAGTGTCTTCCTACGCACGCAAGGAGTGTAAACCTGGCAATGGAGATGTTTCAGCTGAAGAACTTAAAGGCGGTAAAACAGCTGACTGGACCCACAGTGCTGCCAGTCGAGGTATGGTCCTTCTTCTTCTGTGTTTATCGGCTGTAAACTCTGGCAGAAAGTTCTGGTTGTTCGTTCACCTCTGAACTTTGGTCTTCTTCCAGAACCTGAGCTATATTTACACATCCATTTTACAGATTTAGCTTTTGTATATGCAGACTGATGGTTCCTCACCTCTCAGGCAGATGCAGATGGGAAACACCCATAATTAGTCATAATTAATTACATGCTTGTAAGGGGTTCATGGGTCTATCCTCCCTCCTCCCACTACAATGAGGCTCCAGAACTCATATACAGAAATGTGGATTCAAAACCAAGCCTTTTGGGTTGTCAAGCAAGTGTCTACCCACTGTGTTGCATGCTCTTCAATGAGGCAAATAATTCTGTATTGTTCTGTGTATAAAATGACTCCTATTTTGTTAGCATAAAACTAAGAAATAAATATGTGCACAAAAAAACTCAAGTTTTGGCACAAGACTAACGTCCAGAATTGGACGAACAACTAGAACTTTCTGCCAGAGTTTAGAGATGGTGAATGCGAGGAGAAGAAATAAAAAGGGGGAGTGGGGGGTCATCTGATTTTTTAATATTTAGAACTGAAAAATTAAGTTAATTTATTCAGAGATGAACATGAAACGAAAATTGATAATATAATACTGATGAAATAATGTTTAATGATGAATTCTAAATTTTATATCAAACATAAAAGGAATGAGTAGTATAACATACAAACAAACAGCTGGCGAACACTTATCAACAAGCTAACATGCATGCTATCTGCCGGCATCAAGATAATTAATTTGGCTGATATTTTTGTTGTGCTCTATTAAACCAATCTCAATTCTGTGAGGACCTTGTAACCCACTGGGTGGTTTATTGTTCACATTGACCACATTCAGAACTCATCAGAGACCTCTTAAGTTGTTAGAAAAAATGTACAAGCAAGTCTCTTAAAGCTTTCGGATGCGCCTTAATATTTTCCGCTGTTTTCCTTTGTCCTCTTCAATAATGTAAATGAAATGAGTCTTAGTCGGGGTTTCAACTTCACTGCAATTGAGTTTACCCGTACTTGCTCCGTTCCTTAGCCAGTGCAAATCAACCGAAATGTTCCTGTCTCATTTGAAAAACAGGTGAACAAACAATTAGTCCTGGAACAATCCAGAAATATGTGCACACAGTAAATGCTTATGGCAGTTGCTAGAGGCGCCAAAGCCAACAGTCGCCACCAGAAATGCAGTTTGTCATTGATGGAAGTAGTTGGGCAGGATAAGTTGCCTATACACACGTAGAATTATCACAAAAAGTAGACTAAACCGTAGACTACAGTCCATATATGGAAACTGCATTAGCAAAGCACTGTCAGAAACAATAAGACTTTGAAACTTATTATTCTGCCATGCCTAATTCCCCATTTTAGAACGGAAGTCAATGTAAATGAAATAAAACTGGGCAACATAATAATAAATAACGGAACACAATTAAATTGCCAACAAGAGGTCAAATGATCAGAAAACTCGCAGGAGAATTGCCAAGACATCACAATGTTACTACTATGAAAATTCACTGTGAAGTGACTTTATATTGCTCTATCAGTGTGTCTCCTCCAGGCTGCTACCTACAGATTCACCACCCTGAAATAAAAAAAATCTCAGTCTGGATGGCAGACCCCAGCTGCCTCATTCAACCTCGAAAGAAATTATAATTAGGGCACCTGTATTGGCTATTTGAGCTTGTTGTAACCTGCAATTCTGTGTGTGTGCAATCCTCATTGACAAACCTGCCTCTCATATGCTTCAAACAGGTTTCAGAAATTCTTGAAGCCTTCAGAATGAGCAAGAAACGACTCCTGTGTGCAGTTCTCAAAAATCGCTGTGACAGTCACTTTCAGGAAGGGCACATGACAGGTGCATTCCCTTTCATTATCTTCATAAATTTGGAGCTAGTTGTTTCTTAATCTTTAATTTCGGGGGCTGCTTAGTCTCAAGGCATGGTGTCCACCTCGAGTGCTAGAGGTTCCAGGTTCAATCCCTGCTGAGGGCTGGGATTTTTTCATATGGAATAGGACTTCTAATAATTTCCCCTGGTCTCTGTGTAGTGAGATCGGAGACCTATGTTTATTGTTGCACATGTAAAAAATCCCTTGGCAGTTGGAAATAAAAAAAGAATAGCCTAACAGAGCTGCCCAGACAAAATTTTGAGTTTAAAATCTACCCAAAGTATTTCAGGATCCTCGCTGGTGCACTGTGCTGAGCTTCTTTGGACTCAGACTTGAGTAAGCAGAGGGAACGGAGCACTTATGATGGGTTACTACTCGTGTTGCATGATGTTGATGCGTTGTTTAAAACCTCAAAATCTTCAATTTCAATCAATTTTTATTTATTCTCTAGGAACAGCCACAGAATATTTAAAGACCAGAGGAGAACCATTCAGGTACTGCTGATTTCGCAAGTCCTCTAATTTTAAATTCTTTGAGCGTAGACAAAAAAGGAAATATCTTTCTCAATGGTTTAAGGTATATTTCAACAACTAGATACACTTGTTATTAATATAAAATATAATTTCCCATAGTCTAAAATGCTCACAATTTCAGAAAAATTTTATACAGACTGAAATATAAGGATCAAAATTTACTGCTGCTGGAAGGAGTAATCCAGAGGCTGTAGTAAGTGAAGACCGGCTACAGTAAAATTTAATTCACAACGAATACTCACAAAGTAAGGTCAATGTAATAGTTTTCCAAGATACCTTAATTATGCAGCTACAGTAACAAATTATGACGACACAGACATAACAGATTACTTTCCTAAGATGCTTTAATTTTGCAGCAAAAGTTAACAGAAACAATAAAACAGTTTCTCAAGATAAATAAAAAAATCCACTTACAGATAAACAACTGAATGCTAGAGAAAAAAAGAAACAAGGGAATAGTTTGCAAGGATGTCATAATCCGCTTGCTACAGTCAATAAAAATGCTACAGATAGATACAATAACAAGGTTTTCCAAGATGGCTTAACTTCGCAGCTACAATGAGTAATATGAATGCTAAAGACATAGACGCAGAATCGCTTCCCAAGATATACTAATAAGTGACATAAAAGAATATGGAAGTTTTAACTTTGCCATTTAAGAGAAGATTCATTTTTTTAGACTACGATTGAAAGTGATGCAAATCTGTATTGAAATGATGTTGGGTTTCTAAACAACACCAAATATGTTTTCCTCTGACCCTGCTGTTCCAGCAAGTGCAACAAAGCTGCCAAAGAACAGAATCCTAGTCCAGTACCATGACCTCTCCCAAAGTCAAAGTCACCATTTCGGACAAAACCACATACCATCCGTGAATTGTGACCAAGCAATTTAACATCTCTAGCATCTCTTAAGTTCATTTCATTTTTAATATTAGGATCCGCTTCAGGTTCCTTTGTATTTTTGGTCTCTTCTGCAGTTCTTGAAGGTTCTTTAAAATCTCTACTTGTAGGCAAACTTTGAATATTTGCATTTTTACTGCCTTTGCCTCTTTTCTTCTTCTTTCTCAACTGGAGTCTAACCTTTCTTTCTTCTTTTCGTACTGGTGCTTCTGGATCTATATGCTTTTTCTCTTCTGGGCCTCCAAAGCTCTTATCCTTCTCAAGTTTGATAAAATCTTCAAGGGTGGGCAAGCAAATGTGACCAAATGCTTTTGGTACACCACGATGACGAATGCTCAAAAGAACAGGCACTAGAGCAAAAAGATGTTGTTCTGTCATTTGCCTCCAAGCGTCACTAGACAAAATCTTCAAAATATTTTCACCTCCTTTCCCATTTTTAGTGACTCTATTATTTGATCTCACAGATCCTGAATTTCCTGTAAAAGTGGAATTCAACAGCCGGAGGCATTTGCGATCTCGTAGTACATAAAAACCACCTTTATTTGACTCTACTGTTGGTTCTGAAATATGAAGTTTTTCCAACAATGTGGTAGTTTTTATTCTCCATTCATTGACAAGACTACTCCACTGTGGTGCAAAGGGAGACTGGAAGCCCAGTTTTGTGTAGTTTGGTCGTTTAGCTGGTGGCCGACGATCATGTCTTACTTGGAGAGCCTCTGATTCAGTTTGCAATTGCTCTCTTCCTGCTGGAGAATCTGGGAAATCAAATGGTTTACAGAGTGATCCTGCTTGTAATGCAATGCTGCGAGCTTCTCGAACTCCACCCACTCGTGCTCCTCGATATACCAGTGCTACCCAGAATGCCATAGCCCAGCCTGATGGAATGAGGACATCCCAGCCACTAGCATATCCCAGGTGTGATGTTGAAGACACTGAGCTTGATCCCGGTCTCTGGATAAGTATGACAGGAATACGTGATTCTTTGTCTCTCAGCCGTAAGGGACAGCCTGCAAAAGATTTAACATATCCAGTTTTTTGTAAAACAAGTTTATGTAGTATATTTTTGTCTAATTTTTTACTCTTTTTTGGCTTAAAAAAATATTTTTTGCTGTGTTATCCCTTAACTCCTTCCTACCAGGAACATTAGAAAAATTGGGTCATGACACTTTAGAATTTCAGAAAAAAACCATAAAAATGAGTATACAGATTATTAAATCTGTTTAAAAAAAATGGTTTATCCTAGTTGTTCAAAACGGCAAAAAACACACACACACACATGTATCAGGTGACTCATATCGCGACCGTCATCACTGAGGTTATGAGAAAATCTTACGCCAACTTGGCTTTAAAAAAGCCATTTAGCTTAAAGGAAAACACTCCTCAATGTTACTGTTAGTTAATCCATCCATTTCATGACCTTCAAAATGTTTGTGCAGGTGCAAACTCTGCCAATAGCATTAACTTTGCCTCTCATAAACAGTCACTACAGACAAGTTGGAAAAGTGACATTTACGGGGAATAGGTTCAAACCGGAAGTGTAGAATTTTCAGCTTCTCTGGAAAAATGGTTAATAAAAATAACCCTTAAACAACTTTCTTAAAACCTTTTAAAGACTTATTCATGGTTGTTCTGCAGCTTCCTATCTAGACCAGCTGCCAGACAAGGCTTAAGGGTGTGATCACTCTCTGGGGCAGAAAACATAAACCCTAGTATGTGTCAATGCCTAACACTTCATGCCCAGATGGCAGTATATGCCATGGGACTGTGGCCAAAATTACATGGGACTGTGGCCAAAATTACATGGGACGAGTGAATGCAACTCACAAACCTGCAGGTCCAGCATCATCCTCAGGCAGACATCATACTATAGTATGTTTCAGAAGTCATGCCCTCACACAAATATCTTGACAATTTCCTGTACGGATCAACACAAATTTTTACATGTGATGTGTTTTTAGATTTCCCACGTCCATATATAAGTCCTTCTTCTTCTTCTTTCATTGCTTGAAAAAGATTATCTAAATCTGCAATTTTGTCTCTAGTATGAACTTCATATGCAAGTAAAAAAGGACCTTTTTCCACGCCTTCAGGTATAATGGACACAAAGGGCTAGACCTATATTTTATAGAGTAATCTGGCCAAAGGGCGAAAGCTTATGCGCCGCTGGATCGATAACAACAACAACAACAACAACATAGAGTAATCTGCACTTGGTGGGTGATGTGCTCAGCATCGCATTGGCCACCTTTACTTCCCAGGACTCCATCTGGCACCCCTTCAAGGCTGGGTCGACCTGGAAGCCAAGGTCATTTTTTTAAAACGCCCGGTACCTCCAGGAGCTGAACCCACGACCTCCCGATCTGCAGGCAAGCATCCATAGGTATAAATTATAAAATCTTGGCACCTACCTCACAACAACAATAAAGTACACAATCAGAATAACAAAACCTTTCTGTACCTGGAAAAGTATGTTTGCTCTTCAGTTCATTCAGCCTCTGCTCTGAGATTTTTGTAACTTTCACTTGCTGCCTGATTTCAGCACTCCATAAAGGACTCACTCCTAACCCAGCGGTAAACAGCTCCGGGGGCAAGACACCAACAGCTGCTTCTGTGGAGCATATTTTCTAACTTACATCTAAAACATGTGATAATTTCAGTGAAGAATTTGTTCCAGTAAAAAAAACAGTGGAACCTCAGGATACGAGTGTACCTGGATATAAGTTTTTCAGGATATGAAGTCAGGCTCGCCCATTGTTTTGCCTCAGAATATGAGGCAAGATCCAGGATGTGAGCTGGGGGGGGGGGGGGGGGGGGGGGGGGGAACACAAAGGCATTACCCAACCGCATCTGAATAACATTTAAATTGATTAGTGAATGTTTAAACATTGCCGAAGGAGGACTTGACCCAGTCAACAAGGTACTTGATGAGGATGGACTGTTGCACCACAGACAGAAGTATATCCAGTTTCTGCTGCTGGCAAAAAACAGAAAAATCAGTGAATGAATTGAAAAACGCCATTCTGAAACTAGCATGGGGATTTTTGGAGAGCTAAAACTGGAATTAAAATTACTTCACAGCAACTTTAATTTGGTGTGGGGCGGGGGGAGTTTTCAGGATAAGAGTTATTCAATACACAAGCTCAGTCAAAGAAGGGATTACATTCATGTTCTGAGGTTCCACTGAATACACAAAAGGCATACTGAAAATCACTAACAGCACAAATGAGGAACTAAAAAAAAAAAGCAAAAATACTCTCCAACCAAACATACAAGATAATTGCGAATCAAAAGACTGGGACAGGATTTGAACCTGTGACCTCTGGCATGAAAGCCAGTGCTCTACCAGCTGAGCTACCCAGTCATGGTAACCATGTGACCCAAAAATCAGCACAAAAACACACATTTATCTGAACAGATAATAAAACAAACTATTTAGCAAGTCTAATGGCAAACTTCTAATTCTAATAACAAGCTTTAACTAACTTTGAAGTCACTCACACACACATTCTTACATGTAGAAAACACCAAAAGTTAATGTTCCTTTTTTTTATATAGAAAATGTCAGCATGCCAGGAAAAAAAATCTTTGAGATTAAAAAATACTAGAAATTAATTAGAGAAATATTTACACGGCTTCGCTAAATGGCTTTGGTGGGACAAAAACACTGACCTGATCTTTGATCTGAGTGATCTTATGAGAAAGTGAATCTCCACTGCTTATGATTATTTGTATGGAACATCATAATTAAATGACTCGACCTCTTTACATCACAATTTATAATGAGAGCCTTGGATAATTATGTACACTCATTCTTCTTGGGGTTACCAGTTTAGAACCAACATTTTATTACTCAGGACATTCCAACAAGCACTTCATCTCCATCTTCAGCAGCAAGCATAGAGTTTCTATTCCAATAGTACAAGTAACAGCCTCAATGTATGTCCAGCTCGCCTTTTGAGCGTTGGCCAGATCCCCTGATCACTCACTGGCTGCACCATTCTCTCCAGACAGTGATGATCTATTTGTGCCTCAGCACTGTTTACTTGCTCCCAGAAGACCCTTACAATTTGTAGCTTGTCACACATCAATTTACCACCATGTGGTGCAAAACCAGCCAATCTATTTCCTTGTTCAACTCCCAACACACTTGCATATACTTGAAAAAAAAATTTCCAAAGGAGGCTAACTATATGGGACCTCTACAGCAATGCTCACCAATCTGCAGTGTTCAATATTTTTTTTAGGGAGCTGTGGTAAAGTGGTTTGCTTGAAACTGGTGAGGGTTCACTTTGCAGAAGGGGCAGGATTATTTGGCACTGCCTAGCTAAGACAGAATAATGGACTGAGTTGAATAATAGAAAGAAGACACAGAGGGAGCTGCAGGAGATATAAAAGATGGGATGACTTGTTATCAGTTGACTTACCCAGCAACAGTGAATAAGGTACAGAAGAAGAAAAACTGGGTAAGCTAACCTGGGAAGTGTCGGTCAAAAGGCATAAATATTGCTGCTATGCTATAAACAGGCACACCACATTTATGTCACTCGGACAAACGATGAAAAAGCAGAAGAAAAATGAACAATGACTGCTAGAATTCATCTACTCACCTCTGTTGGCATTAAATACTTTGGTCTTCTTGGGCGGCAGTAAAAGCCTGGGGTCACGGACAGTTAACGCCAGTAAACAGTTGGACGGAGCTTCAGCTGGGGAGTTACACTTTCTCACCTGCATCCAACAATCACTCTGCTGCAGAAAATAGCTTCTACTCGCCGTGGATGAGTAGAAGTCTTTCCACCAAAAGCCAGCACTAACGTCTGCATCTTTGTCCTTCAGGGATAAGCTGCCAACCTGTTTGTCTGCTCCAGCATCTGTTGATGAACCTGATATACTGCTGCTGGCAGGTTCTTCTTTGTTTTCCTTGTTATCCTCATTTTTTATCTCAATGTTTTCAATATCAGCCACCTGAAGCACTTCTGACAGTACAACATTTGAAGCTGGCCCATACAGTCTAAACTTCACAAGGTCATCTTTAAGGGAGACCACTCGGATTTCTTCACAAGTATTATCCTGAACAGCCGAACTGTCGAAGTTTGTATTTTTGTTAAAGCACTTAGTAACTTCTTCCAAAGCTTGTGCATAAAATGATGGATGACAACAGATCCACAAAGTCGAGCCATTATCAAGAGCCTTAATTCCATCATGAGGGTACACAGCCTGCCACAAGAATGTCACTGGGCCGATGGCACTACACGGATAACCATCATAAGTGTATAAGGTTAACCTTCCTTCCCTTGTGCCTGACAGTGTCATCTGCGATGCAAATGTTGGCCCTTAAGACAGAAAGAAAACACAACATTTATTCTTCATCATTCCGCAACAGATGTAACAAAGCAAACCAACTCTCTAGCAAATGGCACCATTACTGAGAAACAAACATGTCTCAGCAGAAAGCAAAAAGAGCACTCTATGGCACAATCTTCTTGTCAAACCTGAGCTATCATTGCCGGACCTGGACAATAACAGAAAAAGAGACAAGAAAATTTACAACTGAAATGTGATTTTTGCGGAGGATTCTTAATACAACAAGAAAGGATAGATCAGAAACGATGAAATTCCAAAGGAAAATGGGGTTAGCAGCAGCTCTGGATTTTATTAGAAAATAACATGTAAAATGGTTTGGCCATATAACACGGATGTCAGCAAACAGTATACCACAGCAAGCAATGATGTACAGACCAGGCGGGAAGTGAAGAAGAGGCTGACAATGAAAATGATTGAGAGAGGGAATAACAGAGTCCCTGGGAATCCCCATTTATGAGGCGCACAACAGGCACTTTCCAATAAATTTTACTTACAAGTGGACTAAGATGAGAATGAGAGACAGAACGAACGAATGAACTTTATTTTCAAAGGGTTACAAATTAGGCACGCAGGCCTGTCTTACATTCGGCCATTCCAAACTTCCATCTTTCACACAGCAGTTGTATTTCATCAATGAAGCATGTTATATTCATGTAATGATATGCATATTATGGATATGAAGTCAAAAACAAAAGCATGGGTGGTAAAATATGTGCGCACGCTCACGCGCGAACACACACACCCACACACACACACAAGCCCAATCACTCATTTACACACAAACACATAGGTACCCAGTACACACATACATCCACATACATACGAACATACACACATACATACATACATAAATACATACACACACATAAACACGCTCTAAAACACACACGCATACAACCCAGACACATACAGACACACACACATGCAGTCATGGGCACACACAAACACATACACACACAAAATCAGGGAAACAGACACACACATAGACATACGCAACACCCACACATACACAGATACACTCACACAGTCACACATACGCACACAGACATACACGCAGACGCATAACCCGACACAAGCAGAGACATGCAGACATTATATAATAGACACACCGATAGAGACTCACACAGATACACACAAAGCCACGCACAGCCACAGATGCACATGCAGCCATACACACCTACAGAAACATAATGGAACACACACACACACAAACACATACTAACACACCCACAGACGCACAAATACTCGCACACAGAGAGAGAGTGAGAAAGAGAGAAAGAGAGAGAGAGTGTGTGTGAGAGACAGAGAGAGAATTCTAAAGATTGTTTCTTTTCCTTGACAATTTTTCCCCCCTCAGGGGAAGTTATGCACAGCAGATCAAAAATGTCCAACTTCACCATCTTCTTCACTTCCTCTTTTACCGCTGTGGGTGTCGAGGGAGATATAAAGTTCTGTTTCTAGCTCTTCTGGCTGCCTCGACCATAGGCACATCGTGCTGTTGTAGAGTTTCTCTGATGTTATCCTTCCATCTTGTTCTTGGTCTACCCCGTGCTCTACGTCCTTCTTCTCTTTCCATGTATGCTTTGTATGGTATGGTGTCACAAGGCATTTTCTCTAAGTGGGCAAACCATTTCACTTGCTGTCTTTGTATGTAATCCAGAATTGGTTCTGTGCCGACTTGTTCTCTTATGATCTCATTCCTGATCTTATCTCTTATGGTCACTCCTACAGCCCTTCTCAGACATCTCATTTCCGTGGTATGCATTTACATATCGTAAATTTGCTTCCCCATACAAAGTAATTCGGACAATCAACAGGCAACTAGAAAAATTTATCTGTCTCTGAAAATGTGAATATACACAGAACAGTTGGGTGGTATTTCATGGAAATGAAATCAAAAACAGAGGTTCTAAAAAACTGTGAATGAAAAGAGAGTTCCTGAAAGAAATTTAAAAAAAGACAAGTAAAATATTCTAGCCACATCTAAAAACAAAAAAAAAAAAAGGTTGTTGCGTATCCTCTAGAGGACGTTGCAGAACCAACCCTAACAGCCCCTGGCTGTTGTGTGGTTTCTCTAGGCAAATTTACGTCCAGTAGTTTGCCATTGCTTTCTGGACGGTCGGCTTTCTTCATACTACTGTCGAAACCAACGCAAGGCGCATTGCCCGCAGCTGGGATCGAACCTGGCATCCCGGCATTACGAAGCGAAGTGTTCGCATCGACTTAGCCACAGAGCCGACCTAAAAACATAACTCTTTTAAAAACTATACCAGTGGGAAAAGTCAAGGAAAAGAAAGCAAGAGGTAGACAACGATACAAGTGGGAGGATAACATCAAGAAATGGACGAACAGCAGTCTGAGAGAGTGCACAACTATGACAAGAGCCAAAGCCTGTTGGAGACCCATTGCAGACAACCTGCATCGTGGAGACAGCAACTGATTGATACAAAGTTAGGGGCTCTATCTTCAAGCAGTGAACCCCTTTTTTCTCATAATTTTGTCAGGAGAGTAGCCTTACAGCCTACTCCTTGCAATTTCTACCAATGGGGGATTTTTAACAGGAACAAGATGCACAAGTGACACCCCCCCCCCCCCTACCATTTTACAATATGATCCTACCTCTTCTTTTGTGTTCTCTTAAAAGGGTAAGTTAGAACAATGTCTAGAGGTTTACAGTTGAGTTGAGTCAAGAATTTACATCACAGTACTTGGGGCATTCCTATGCAGGCTCCGTCCTTATCTTCAGCAGTCAGCGCAGAGTTCCAATACTGATGGTACCGGACACAATCTGGTTTTATGTCCATCTTGCCTTTCCTTTGAGTGTAGTGAGTTGGCCAGACCCTCTGGTTACACCCAGGTGCCTCATTCTCTCCAGGCCGTAATAATCTTCTTTCTCTACTGATTCTTTTGCTTGTTCCCAAAAGGCCTTGACCACATCTGCCTTGTCATGTCTCAATTCACCAATCAGTGATGCAGATCCGGCCAATGTGTCTGCCTGTCAGCGAGGCTACAATATATGCACTTTTCTTTTCCCTCTCCACAATGGGGCCCCAAAACCCATGAAAAGAGTTTAATCACAAAACCACCATCATTGTCCTTTTGTGCCATTATAAATCACTTTGGTCTTAAAGTCTATTCCTCCAATCCATTACAGCGATATCATGGAATGAATCCAGTCCAGCACCTTTGACCCCTCTCTCGAATGTTCGTTTTAGGGTGTTTATTTTGTACATCATTGCTTTCTCAACCCCTCAAGGTTTGAACAATGGATGAACATTATGGCACAAGGGTAGTAAACCATAAGTGCTCCGTTCTTCTTCTCTTTCGTTGCGTTCGGTTTCGTATGCTCAGATCAGACCATCAGGTGGGTTGCCTCTATGAACTCGCATGTCAGCTGCAGGTCCTGCATGGTTCCCCATAGCTTGCTCTGCACACTTTGCTCTTGAGGCCAGGTGTCTTTTTAAGTTGCAGGTAAAGTGGGCAGGTCTGTAGAATGTGCTGTGGTGTTTGGGGTCCTGTTTGACAGGCACACTGGGGGGACTACAATCTTCATTTTATGCATGTGGTAGTAGAGCCTGCAGTGTCCTGTTCGTAGAGTTCTTCTTCTAACTTAAGTCTGAGTTCAAAGAAGCTCAGTACAGTGCACAGGCTCTGTAGCACCGGCGAGGATCCTTAAATACTTTGGGTAGATTTTTAACTCAAAATTTTGCCCGGACAGCACCGTTAGGCTACTCTTTTCGATTTCCAACTTCCTAGGGATTTTATATGTGCACAACAATGCACACGGGCGTCCGATCTCACAACCCAGAGATCAGCGGAATTACTAGAAGTTCAATCCCATGTGAAAAAATCCCAGCCCTTACCGGGGATTTAACCCGGCACCTCTAGCATCTTTATCAGTTTAACTACATAAAACAGTATTAACCCGGGAAGTAAAACCGGTCAACTAATGCTTGATGAAGTGGGATGTGTCGGTCGAAAGGTGCAAATATTGCAGCGCTGCTGTAAACAGGCACAACACAATTACATCACTTGGATGAATAAAAAGACTACGAGTATTATTGGGGGGGGGAGGATGAATAAAAAGACTAAGAGTATTATTGGGGTGGGGGGGGGGGGGGGGGGTTGTTAGTCCGACGTTGCTCTTCCCACTTCTGATTGGTCGACCTTAAGCAACACGACCTTGGCATAAGGTTACGGTTCCGTAATGCCGTTGATATCGCGTGTTGTACATTTTAGCATGCCAGCGCTTTTAACACTCCAAAAAAATCGACAAACTGGGTCTAACACATAACCCCTTTAGAGAGATGAAACCTATGTCATAGGCATTCTCTTTCTCGAAATAAAAATGTAAATGCAAGACAATACAGAAAGCAAACAACAAAGCGGCACACACGTAACCTGCAGGAAAGTAGACCAGCCCAACAAATTTGTCAATAAAACATGACCTACTTTGTTTGGGGAGACTAACATTGAACTAAATTATTGGGGTAACCTAGGGCTACGGGGAGTCGCCGTGGCCGAGCGGCTAGACGCTCACCGCAGATCGGAAGGTCATGGGTTCGCTCCCTGGCGGAGCCTGACTTTTTTCAAAACGATCTTGGTTCCCAGGTCGACCCAGCCTTGAGTGGGTACCAGGTGCAGTCCCTGGTGTGATGCTGACCACATCACCCATCTTGTGCTGATTGGTCTATAAAAATATAGGTCTAGGCCTATATGCCTTATACGCCTAAAGGCGTGGAAAAGGGTGCTTTACTTTACTTACTTACCTAGGGCTATGAGGTAACCTGCACCAGTATGGGTTGGGTAATTACCCGAATGTTTCAGTTTTTCCTTCAGCTGTATACAGCCTGGTACCGTTAGTGGCTTATGGTAGTGAACTATTTAGTGATTTCCACTTCCACAGGGACGGAGAAGTTATGGGACAACCTGTCTGCAGCAAAGTTGAAACCTTGACTAATGACTAACCAATTCATTCATAACTAAAATTACTTGCTAGCATAACTTAATGTTTCGAGAAACAATGGTTATACCAAACAAACTTAAAAATCTGCTTTTACAATAGAAAGAACAATGCTTACACATCAGTAAATTCAATTATTTTGGGATAATCATAATATGGGATGAACTGTGCAGAGATAGACTGAGACAAAAGTAAAGGTAAAGTCGGGAGATGTGAACCAGCGTCATTGCACACGATTGTAAACCACAAGTGCTCTGCCACCAGTACGGACAGTTAATAGGAAACTCTCTGCCTGTGTCCAGAACTCCATCTTAGGGGAAACCAGAACATACCTCCATCCCCGAAGTGAACATATACAATGTGAGCAATAACAAATCTGACGTGTTGGGCCGAAGGCACAGATATCACAGCCTAACTGTAAACCACAACATAATGGGCCAACCATACTTTAAAGAGTGAAGGCATAAGAAGATATAGGACAGCAAAGACCTAGAACTGAGTGGAGTTATGTTAATCAACACCACCCGGCAAGGCAAAAGATGATGATGGTAATTAAGTGACCAGTTCTGAAATCATGAAAACCTACCTGTTTTGTTACTAGTCAGATGAGACAGCTCTTGTAGTATTCTCTGTTGTGGTCCTTTGATCTCAATATAACTTTCAAAGGACACATCCTGCAATAGAATTGTAAAGATACCTATCATAAATAAATAATATTTCACCATCATCATGAAGCAGGTCCTTTGCAGAATATCGCTCTCATCACGCTCTGCCTGAAAGAAACAGAATCTCGCCAGCTCTCCCACCTCATGTTCTTTTATACTCAAGGAGTCACTTATATCCTGTGTCCATCTTTGTGTTGATCACACGCATAAATACATAAAGAACGTGACAGTAACAGTATTCACTTCTACTGTCTTTATTCCCCAGTGCAACACAGGCCCTCAATCACCTCACACCAATTCATCCTATCTATCTTTTGACATCACAGGCAGCTCATCCTATATTTTGTAACTTCTCTCTACTTCCATTATCAATATGCTTTTTAGAGTAACTTTATTTCTTTAACCCTGTAGTTTCCAGTGTGAAGACATTCTAGTTAAATTGTTCTCAGATTTGCTCAATTTTGTGTATTATTCAGCGTCAGCTTTAGTTTTGTTTAGCTCTCTCCCAAGCTTCCACACTAGTGATTCTATCAAACAATTTAATTCTCTCTGTTCTAGGCGCAGGCACCAGTTAATGAATTTGTGTAGTTTACACAGTTTACAGGATTAATAAATAATAACAATAAACAAAGTATTGTCTACTTTTGCCTCTCACCTGCCAGTGAAGCAGACTTTCAAACAACTCATGCCTAGCACTTTATAGTACTGGTGTTCATGACTGGTTGAATTTTGCAGCAAAGGCTTTTTTATGGGAAGAAGAAGCTAGCCGCAAGCCAACTTTTCTCAACTGCCTCTTAGGATATATATGGTAGGTTGTAGTGTGATTATTCCTTGCTGCCCTTAAAAATACGCGCAAAACCAGTTCTCTAACCCCCCTGGAAATCATGTCAGTATAATGGCCAAGGAACTTACCTACTAAGACAGCAGTAACAGTCTTAGGGTGGATTGTTGGATACTCAAAGATGCATACAATGAAGAATGGAGAGTGAAATGCTACAATGAAATTCAGAATCTATTTTCATCACCACTAATTACTGGAATCATGAGGGATAATAAGCTGCAATGGTTGGGGCCATACAGAGATAATGGCAGATAACAGAGAGGCAAACTAGGTACATAAGAGTTGAATGGGTGTAGACCATGAAGCAAAGCATGGCATTGGAGAGATAATATATAGGCGAATCTACAAACATATGGGGTCACCAAACTTGAAAGAAAAGGCCAGTCACATTCACCAACCTGGAAAGAGAAGCACAGTCATGGAGATGAATGGAGGAGAGTTATATCTGCAGCAGTAAACCTCAAGGGCTCAGAGTGTTAAAGAAGCAGCAGAAAATGACAAGAACAAAACACAGGCCAAGTTCTACAGAATGGGCATCAGATAGTTCAACCTTAGGAAAGGTGTCTCAAAATGATATAAGCTGCTTACTTTTGGTGACTGTCATTAGAAAAACTTTTATTACTGCTTGTATTTACTATTTTTGTGGTATAGGCAGAGGGTCTTTGAGGTGAGCATTTAGGGCCACATGGCTAGTGCTGTCGCCATGGACGATACAGACTAGGATTTATTTTTGCCCTGAACCGAAAAAATTCCCAACCTTTTTTGTGAATTCGAACCCGAGCCTCCCGCACAACAGCCCAGCATTCTAACTATGTGGCTAGCTGCTCCTCAATTATGGCACAGAATGCATAAAAACAACATTCAATCAAATTAATACAGAACCACTTACTTGCATTAAACAATGTTTATTCACAGCCCTGTAACAAGCACGAATACTCTTTTCATTAGGATGCAAGGGCAACTTGTAGTTCCATCTCTGCACCATCTTGAATCGTTTTGCATGCCAAATGTGTGTTTCCAGCCATCCAATTTTACGTTTGCGCCTCTCATATTCGGCCAGCAAATTTTTGGGGCGACGTCTGTAGCAACGGCTGGGACGCTTGCCTGGTGGCTTGGTCTTTTCCAGCTACAGAAAAACAATAAGCAGAAAGAAAACAAACAAAATTAACTCTTTTCATACCAAGTAACTCCCCCATTTGCTTGTTAGTTAAACATTTTTCAGGAGATGCCTAATAGGTGATAAGATCTAAGCAAAATCATGTGTGTTAATTTTAAAGAAGCTAAATATCATCATGTGCCCTGCCAGTTGGCGTAGGCGCTCATGCATCTCCACTGATCACGATCCCTGGTTGCTTGGAACAGCTCTCTTGATGATATTCCTTCATGTCATCGTTTCAGCCCGCCCAGCATCATCTCTCATGGTCTGCCTCTAACCCTCTTTCCACTGATCTTTCCAGGTATCACAATGTTTTCCAATACCTCCAATATTGGCAAAAAATTTGGACTAAATTAAAATGTGCTATCTGTACCAACTTTGATCAGTGCCAAACATGGACAGTCCTACAAAAACATCACTGCAAAATTACAATATGTAAGATAAGGTGTACAACAAATGTGGCGGGAAAAATACAAAACAATACAGTCACCAAAGAAGAACTAAGAAAAGAAAAAGATAGGCGTGTTACTGATTAATGATTTTACAGAACATCAAAGAATCAATCTTTTTGGTCATCTGGTCAGAATAGTAAAAAGAAATCAGATAGCAGCACAGCGTATACATGAGAACAGCAGGCTACAAGGCAAGGGGCCGACCAGGAAAGAGATGAGCAGAGGGAGTAAAAGAACCATTACAGAAATGCAATACGACAACAAGCTAAACAACTAGCAAAAGACAAGTACTACATCAACTCCTTTCTGTGACGCTTTACAACATAAGCAGTAGGACAAAAGAAATAGAAGAAGAAATACAGAGGAAGTGGGCACTGGAAAAGCCAGATTTGTTTACTATACTCTGTTGTGTGCAATCCGAAGATTCACACTATTGACGAACGCTAATGAACATGAGATATGACGAGAGACATGACGTCACTTGCCAACAGAAGAACTGGACAGAAGACAGTTACAAGAAATGTAGGAATGGCAGAGGCTTGTATTGATATGTTCCTGATGCCGCAGTTCGCGGGAGAGCAAAGTCTGAGCTCCATGTTGGAGGAAAGGAATCATCCTACCGTCGTTGAGTACAGTGATCGTAACATATTCATTTCATGGACACACATTAGATCTGTGGAGAATTGCTGAATAAACGTATTGATATTGCCTGTCAACGACGAGTTCTCAAATGTAGAAGTTTCAACAGTTGACCTTGTTGGTGGTATTTTTCTGCCTGTCGTTGGGGTTGGCATTTGTTACCCTCTAAAGTAACAAGTTACTTGGACTTGGTACGGCATTGACCCGGGACGACATTTAAACGGAATAATCGCCGGACAGTATGAGATAATAATGCTGTACATACTCTAACCAAATATATAGATTAAAAAAAAGAGAACACGTTCGATGGTTGAGATTTAAAAGGGTGAGCTTTTCAAACATCATTCATTGCTGAGTGCTGAAGTAACAACAATTCAGAATAGAAAGAAATCCCTGTGTGAGTTATGGGGTCTCATATTGGAAGAATGTTGTTGAATGCTGAATTAAAAATCGACATCAAAGCACTTGGGACACCCACAAGTGCTCCGCCCCCAATCTTCAGCAGCAAGCAAAGAGTTCCAATTCCGATGGCACCAGTCACTGTCTGATTGTAAATCCGTCTCGCCTTTCCCTTCTGTGTTGAGCGATTGGCATCAGCCAGATCCCCTGGTAACTCCTCGCAGTGCCGTTCTCCTCAGACCGTTATGACCTGTTTCAGTCCCCACACTGTTCACTCACTCCCAAAGGACCCTCACAACATCTAACTTTTCATACATCAATTCATCATCAAGTGGTGCAGAACCAGCCAGTATATCTGTGCAATGTGGCTCCCTCTAGGGTTTGTCTGGGCTCATCACATTACTGTACTTTTATTCCTTGTTATAAAAAGTTAGTATGAACACATCAGACGACAAACACGCCCATCAGCAGTTATCGATTTTATTCGCCGATCCAACAGTTGCACTGTCCGGTCACTGTTCTGAATTCTTGTTGACGATACACTCGCCCATTTACAAATACTGGTTTAACAACATTACAACTCAAATCTAGATGTAATTACCTTTCTGACTGTACATCTCGTTAAGGCCAGCATCTTGCACTTGCAATTCCACACAGCCGAATCTTGCAGTGGGTTGACATTCATTCACATCGACACTGCTTTGTCTCTCATCATCCCAAACAACTACACGTGGTCAGGCAGTCTGCATTCTTCACTGTCGTTCCTCTGTACTCGACCGCAAACATACGCATCCAAACATCAACTGATCTCCTATCCTCTTTGTTCAAACCTTCCGTTCCGGTCTCATGCTTTTCCCGTACCTCTATTCACACAACACGGGATAATTGAGACATGATTTTCTCCCTTTCTTCTTGTTTCCATGGCCTTGGGATTTCCCCGGGAATTCACCTCGTTACAATCTGTCTGCTCATTTCCCAGCGCAACCTGGAGAGAATATCCAAAGGATGCTAACTACCTAGGAAGAACAAAATAGTATACCTACTGTGTCCCCTCCTCCCACCCACCCCCTTCCAACAAGCTTGCCATAAACATAAAAGGTGACAAGATTTGCTGAAACCTGATGTGTTGAGTTGAAAAGCGTAGAAACTGCAGCTTAGCTGTAAACCACAATAATATGTGCCTACAGTCCTAAGGGCAAATGCAGATGAAGAGGAAGAAAAAAGAGAGAAAAACAAGAAAGAAAGAAAGAAGAAAAAGAAGAATAGAAAAAGCAAAAAAGAAACATGCACCTGAGATAGGAGTTAACCACCCAGAATTTATCAGACACAGCCTACAAACTGCATATTTAGCATTAGAAACAAATTACCTCTGATCTCACAGCATCATGCAATCTTCTAGGGACACGCTTGATGTTGTGACTCATTGCACGCCTCCTCATGTGCCGAGGAAGTTTCTGAAAAGCCATGTGGTTCCCTCCATTTCTTTTAACCACCTCAGTTAAAGCCTGAATCTCAACAGCGCGACTTTCAGCAAATCCTTCGACATTGATGTCTGGGAAATAGAGTAACAAGAAGCTGATATGTTATATAATTCATTAATCAATTTCCTTCAGAGCCGGAGTGCATTTGAGTGAGAGGCAAGGAACCAACAGACTGCACACAAATAAATCATATCTGTGAAATGGGTATGCACATAACACCCAAGTCCTAGAAGAAAGCTTAAGTCCAGAAGTGGATGAACAACCACAACTTTCCACTTCAGTTTACAGCTGGTGAATACAAACAACAAACAAACATCAATCAATCAAGATACACTGTAACTACTTTAAAAAAAAAAAAGTAGGGCTGGTATGGGGACGCGGGGGTGGAGAAATGCATAGCTAATGAAGGAAGCATAATTTCAACATTCAAATCTGTTCAAACTGAAAATTAAAAAATACCTTAGTGCTCAATCAACCAACTGACAATTTTTCTGCAAATGGATCATTGACAGTTTTTAGGTGTATGTGCCAGGGGAACTGCGTAGTCTCGAGGCATGGTGTCTGCCTCGAGTACTAGAGGTTCCAGGTAAGGGCGGGGAATTTTTCACGTGGACTAGGACTTCTAGTAATTCCTCTGGTCTCTGATTAATGAGATCGGATGACCACGTGCAATGTTGCGCACATAAAAATATCCCTTGGCAAGTTGGAAATCGAACAGACTGTATATAATTCAACCTGTGTGCCAGTCCGAACCTACAGATGTGAGTCATGGGTAATGACAACAGCTCACAGATACCAGCTTCTGACCTCATTTCTGAGGTATCTGAGAAAGGTGGTGCAAGTTACAAAAAGGGACACAATTCACAAACAGATTTTCATCATTCAGGCCTTACAAACTCGAGTAGAATGACTAAGTAAATGTAAGACAAGCAGGGTCTATTGTAACATAGTGGTTAACGTATACATCAAAAACTACATTCATAAATAATTGTATTTACTCATGAGTAACCTAAAAAGAAAACTAAACAAATTCTTGTGAAAAAGACGCTGGTGCTGGATAGGAAACACTGGGAAAACCTGATAATACTATAATGAAAATGTCTGTAGAAACCAGTCAGGCAAAAGAAATAAGGGCGACTTAAAAATTTAAAACAAAGAATTAAAAAAAAAGGTAAATAATGTGGAAAGGTCATAGAAAGAGCTGCAAGAGATGGAAAAGGTAGGATGACTTAGAGTTTAATTGAGTTGAGTCAAGAACTGACATCACAGCACTTGGGGCATTCCCATATGTTCTCCGTCATCTTCAGGAGGAAGTGCAGAGTTCTAGTACTGGTGGTACCGGTAACAATCTGGTTATATGTCCGTCTTGCCTTTCCTATGTGTAGTGAGCCGTCCGGACCCTCTGGTTACACTCAGGTGCCTCATTCTCTCCAGGAAGGATGAAATAGAATGAGCTGGTAGCCTATGCTCCAATAATTGATAAAGTGCAGAAGAGGAAAGTCAGCAGAAGTACATTCAATGATGAACTGACTATAAGTCATCTTTATTACTGCCTGTATTGGAAGAAGTGGTAGTGTAGAGGCTAAATGCTTGTCTTCTTGCCTGATGTTCTATGGCAGTGATTCCCAAACTGTGTGCCACGGCTCCCAGGGAAGCCGCGACCTCTTCACAGGGGCGCCGTGATATATTCGAAGATACACAAGTTCTTTCAGACAAATAATCACATTTTTACTAAGGGCACCGTGAACAAATTTTAATAGAAAAAAAGCACAGCAACTAAGAAATGTTTTGGAAACACTGGTCTAGGGTGTAAATCCGCATTGAGTAATGCAGATTTTTTTTTAAAACAATACACTTCAGTGGAATCTTCTGGGGAACCAGACTTTCAGGGTGATCTAGGGAAGTCAACATCTGATAGTCCCTGACTGAAATGGAGCAAAGCCAGAAAGAAAACTGCCAACAAAGAAGCCTGATGATCTCTCTGGCACACCTCTACACCCCAGTGTAAGTAAGGAATGTTCTGGTTTGTTCGAGTGCTGGAACCTTACCTTTCAGGCTGATGCACTTGGCATTCGAGGGAAACACGCCTAATTAACATTAATCATCTTTTACCTAATTAACATAAATCACCTTTTACCCAATTAACATTAATCACCTTTTACCTAATTAACATTAATTACCTTTTACCTAATTAACATTAATCACCTTTTACATAATTAACATTATTCACCTTTTATGATATGAGATATGCTCCTTTGGTAGGCAGTGAATCTATTTTCACCCCCTTTCCCCACGGGCCAACGGAATCCACTTATGGGACATTTATATACATAGCCGCCCTCTAAAAGCTTCAATTCTTATAACCCCCCCCCCCCCCCCCTTCTCTCCCCCATTTAATATTAATCACTGCTCATTAAACAATCATAATCAATTCCACTTTTGTCAATAAGTAAGTGGCATGGGGAGGAACAGTTTTAGATCCAGCACCCATTAGGATAGGAAGATATGATAGGTAGGACTCTGGACTAGTCACCACACTGCTGTCATTTTTGTGTGTGTGCATAAATTGATATATAAATATGTTTACTGAAATCAACTGATTCTCTCCTTGGCGACCCTCGTTTTACTCTTTAAATTTAACTACGGAAGAAAAATTAGCAACACGCAAGAATACTCCCAATAGCGCATACCTATGGCAGGGCCACAGTTATACGTAAGTTGCGGACCACTTTTCGCGGACTATAGTGCCACCTCCGAGAGTATCCTCCGCGCCGCTACGTGGGGCACTAAACTAGATGGCTGGGATTCACGAGCAGCAGCTACCGCTTCTCCTGTAGCTTCCTCCATTGTTTTTGCTCATGAGTCCTAGCCATCTAGTTTAGCCCCTTCCGCGCCGCACGTAGCGGCATGGGGGATACTCTCGAATGTGGCACTATAGTCGCAAGGAAACAGTCATGAGCTACTTCTTCCGTCGCAACTGCCAGCGTGGTCGCATTCGCCACGGTCAAGGGGTGGTCGGGATAGTGGAGCGCTATAGTGGCGGCTGCTGGTTTGAAGTTGTCCCGAGGCGACTGCTGGTTCGAAGTTGCTCCGAGGCGACGTGTGCATACATTAAAACAGACATTATTGATTATGTCTCGCCCAGAACGAGAATCGCGGACAAGCCGCGCCCTGTTGAAATGGCGGACAGACAGAAAGAACAGATATTCGGGCACTATTTTCACATATAAAGGATTTAACTGTCTGTAAGACTTCGCCGTTTTCCTCATACTTTTCATTCCTTATATTTTCCGAGCTACAATTTTTAAATCTTTGTAGGGTAGAACGTAATGAGGCTCTGTTAGGGTTAACTTTCTGCGTAGATCATTTGGGACCGTTATTTAAAGGAGATCCGGATTATGTATTGACTATATCTACTGTCATTGACTTTGACCTAATAACTTAAATAACGGCTCTCCTTTGAATCATCCCCCAAAATGGCGTTCGAAAGAGAGCTAAATTGGCCATGAAATATCCAAAAATATCTGAATGCGGGTCAGTTCTATTAAAACAATATGTGCTGGCTCCGGATAGCGAAACAAATGCTCTGACAGGGTCTCGGCGATACATTACTTGCCGACCTGCTTCTGCGAGTGGGTCTCACTGCCGAGCGTATCCCCCACGCCGCTAAGCGCGGCGCGGATGGAGGCTAAACTAGATGGCTGGGACTCACGAGCGGCAGCTCTGAGCTACCGCATCTCCTGCAACTTCCTCCAATTACTGTACTCGTGAGTCCCATGCACCTAGTTTAGCCCCCATCCACGCCGCTATGCGCGGCGTGGGGGATACGCTCGGCGATGAGTTTAATCGCGTTTGGCGCATGCCGACAAGTCTGACATCTACCGCTGCTAAATCCTCCAATCGGAAGAACACAGTATTGCTAATCGGCTTTCGTCTGTAATGTCTCGAAATTGGTCAACGGTTGCGCTAATATCGTCTGCTAGTATCCTCGTCTGCAGAAAGCTCGAAATTGTTGTCAATGACAATGGTCGGTATTTATCGTCTGCTACTACCGTGTGCAAATGATATTGATTGTCAAGTAATCCTAGTTTTGCCGCGATTTGTTTCTTGGCAGAAAGTCCGCGTTTTAAATATACGCGAACACCGTCGTTCGGATATTTTTTGGCCAGAATGTGGCATGCCGCCGTTTTGGATTCAAAGGAGGGCCTAAATAACATACCTTTCACAACTTTGTTGTTCTTCTCTTCTAATCTGATCTGCTTTGCTTTTGTAACTCCGTTTGAACTATCACTGTGGTCTACAGCTGATTTTCTTTTATTGTTTTGAAATGATCTGATATTCGACATTTTTGAAACAACGAAAACTGAGGCTAACTTTTCATTCCATACCACCAGCACACCTACATATTTTGTTTGAGTTATCTTTACTTTGTTCTCGCTTTCGAGGATAAAAGCATAATTGTAAGAAGAGACGAAACAAATATACTATTATTACCATGTGCCACACCGAAAAAACGTGACGTTTCGCCACGTCATTCGATCACCACAATGGCGGATCAGGTCAGGGTTCTTATCTCGCCCCGTCCTTATGGTTGAGTCCTCCAGGTATTTAATACTTTTCTGTTTCCTTGCTCTCGCACGTGTCAGTCGTTACCAAGTAATCGAGTTCGTTCATTCTCATAAACCTGTCCGATAAAACACCGACCGTCTACGTCAAACTCTAATCGCTCTAAACGGTTTTTGGTTTTTATCTGTTTTGATGAGGTTTCGTTAGTTTTTCTATCGTTCCATGATATTCTTTGCTTTCTTTACAAAAAACTATATCACTACTATATGGGAATCAAAATGGTAATACCCCCGTCCCAGAACCTCAGCTGGATAAATCACAGCCCCTAGGCCCCTCGATTTGTGTGTGGGGGGGGGGGGGGGGCAGGAGCTCCCATGTAGCACTGGGATCATCTCTCTGCCTCGAGTGAATGTTTTTCCAGCTTTTCTACAAAGGAAGCTGCATGGTCATGAGGCATGGTGTCCGCCTCGAGTGCTAGAGCTTCCGGGTTGCATCCCTGGTAAGGGCTGGGATTTTTTTCGCGTGGACTTCTAGTAATCCCTTTTGGTCTCTGTGTAGTGAGATTGGACGCCCGTGTGCATTGTTGCGCACGTAAAAAAATCGCTTGGCAGTTGGAAATCGAAAAGAGTAGCATGGGCAACAATTGATCTCTAAAATATTGCCTAGGCCTTTGGGGAGGAAGAATTGTATTTCTGGCCCCTATTAAGTTCTTTACTTAAACCTTCTGTTCATTTACAGCGACGTATTCTTTTTTTTCATTTTTTATAACTTATCCGCTGTGACATCTCACTTCCCATAAGAATCTCCTACATCTCAAGATGGCCCATCCACCATGTGTCTGGTCTAAAATGTGAAGGACACTGTAGGATTCACATCTATCCTCACCTTACTTTCCGTGCCAGCACGTGAGTTTCCATCGCAAGTGCTCCCAAGTGTTTCCCTCTACAACTGCACACTGAGAAATTCTAATGTTGCCAGACAATACCTACCCGGAGAGGTTAGCGGCTTGTGGAGAGCTAACTCGAGGACTATTATTCCGTGTGAATTTGGAGGTTCGGATGAAGATAGGTTAGGGTTGGGTGGAGGGTGGGGATAAAACTGAACAAAATGTTATCCAATAATAATGAGGGAAGTAGAAGGTAATAGAAAGAGAATGAAATAATGAGACCGCCGGGCAAAAATATTGATAGACGTTGATCAACTACCTCGTTTGGTTCACGAGTACAATTCTTATGGGGATTTATGAAGCTTCGAGGCTCGTGCTTCGTAATAACCTGCTGCATTTAAGTAAGACGAGAGGCAATTAAAGGCTAAGAAAGGTCAAACCAGAAAAGTGCCTATCTAAATAGGATATACAAACTCCAAAACCGGACCAACAGTTCAGAGCAGCTGAGCAACAGTTCAGTGCAACTGACCAACACTTCACTGTAATTGACAGCACTCTACAACACAAGTAACAGTTCACTGTAAATATGCAAAAGTTCAATGCAAATGACAGTTCATTATGACTGAGCTACAGTTCAGTGTGACTGAGGAACAGTTCGCTACAACTGACCAACAGCCATTAGCAATTGAAAACCAGCTCACTACAACTAAAGAATAGCCCTCTGCAACTCAACAACAGTTCAGTGCAGTTGACCAAACGCTCACTGCAGCTGGACAACAGTTCAGTGCAATTTACCAAACGCTCACTACTACTGACAAACAGTTCCAGTAACTGACCAAAGCTCACTGCAAATAACCAGCTGCTTGCTACAACATAACAACAATTCAGTGCAAATTACCAGGCGCTCACTGCAACTGACAGACAGTTCAATGTAACTAACTAAAGCTCACTGCAACTGATCAAAGCTCACTATGGCTTCACTACAGTTCAGTACAATTATTATAAGAGTGTTACAGTTTGAAAGGAACACCCACTAACCCTAATCATAACACCCCTATAATATTGGACTTTCCGGGAAACTCCGGGATTCCCTGTGCTTGCGGTGAATACAAAATTCTGAAGGAAAAAAAAAACATTTGTCATATAATAATATTAATAATAATAATAATAAAAATAACAATGATATTGCGCATAGTAGAGAAAAAAATATAAAAATAAGTGCTTTCTTAATATTCTACCCCAAACAGGAAAAATCCACAGAACACGGGACAGTCTAGTATTTTAGGGGGTGATAGATAGGCTGCAAGCAGTCGTGTGACCTAGGCTGCACTCGCTCGCGGAACGTGGGTGGGTCGGGGTTAGGGCCGGTTCTAGGGCCGGTTCTAAAATATTGGACTGTCCCGTGACGTGATCTGGGGTGGGATATTACCAAAGAACCTAATAAAACATGTCAAAAACGTCGTAGGACAAACATATACTTGAAAAGATAATTTATAAACATGGCTGGGTTTGAGTATAGGGGACAGTTTAGTATTCTTTAAAATTCAGGGGGGGGGGGGGGGGGGGGATCCTGACTGCCACCACTCCACAAGCTATGGGAGCATCAATGGGCATTAGCCCCTAAGTGTTAGTTCTACCAACTTAACATAATATTTATTGTTGCAATACAATAAAACTTCCTGAGAGGTGTCAATTAGTACTCGCAAATATAATCCTTGCTGTAGTAAAATCAGACTGCACAAGGTCAGTCAGTGTCACTCCACTTAGTCGTTTCTGTTTCCAAAAAAAAATCTTTCCTGAAGCCTGTTTACTACCCTGCGATAAATAACTAGAGGGGAAGAAACAATCACGTCTGCAGTAAACCTGTGATTGTTTTGATTGTCTGTGTGATTGATTTCCGTGATATAATTCGACAAGCTAGGGACCTGACCTGCAACAAAATAGTAAGTAAAAAAGTAAAGGACCCTTTTCCACGCCTTTAGGCTTATAGGGCATATAGGGCTAGACCTATATTTTTATAGACCAATCGGCACAAGATGGGTGATGTGGTCAACATCACGCCGGCCGCCTTTACTTTCCCGGGACTGCACCCGGTACCCACTAAAGGCTGGGTCGACCTGGGAGCCAAGGTCATTTTTGAAATAAGTCCGATCCGCGGCGAATGAACAAAATAGTATTTACATGGTTATCTCCTATCTGGTCAACGGTAATAGAGGGGAGATCATCGAGATGCAATCGACTCTACTTCAGTTTGAAAGAAGAGCATCCCACATACCTTGGAGTCACACTTGACCCGCAGCTCAGCCTCAAGAACCATATTGAAAACATCAGGAATAAGGCATTGAGGCGGTTACAGTTATTAAAGAGACTTGCAGGTACATCATGGGGATCAGACAAGGAAACTCTGAGGGGCTTATACCTAGGATATGTTCGCTCTGTGATAGAGTACAACAACTCACTGCTTACAACTTGTTCCAAAACTAACCTAGAGACTCTTGACAGAGTACAAAATAATGCCCTCCGATTAATCTGCGGAGCTATGCAGTCTACACCAACTGCTGCATGTGAAATCCATACAAATGTGGAACCCCTCGGGTTGCGGAGAGAAAAAAAAAGCCACTTTAGAAATTTATGAAAGATGCGTTAGGAAAAATCGTAACCATCCTAATAGACATCTTGTAGAAAACTGGGAATCCAAACAAAGAATAAAGCACAAATCGGTTTTACACTGTGTTAATGAAATTCAGGACAGATACCACCTCCCAGAAAGACGTCAAGGAATTCAGAATGTTGCAAAAAAACCTACCACCACATGCTCGCTTTAAAGCTCCAGAAGTCCAAACTAAATTGGTAGGCGAGGAAACCAAACAGTCCGACCCAATCGCTCTTATGAACTCATCACTAAAGACCGTTGATTCTTACCCCCAAGAATGGATACATGTCTATACTGATGGATCAGCATTTAAAGCTACCATTAAAGCAGGTTACGGAATCTACATAGGTTATCCCGATGGATCTGTTGAAGAGATTTTTGATGCATGCGGGGAATTCTGTTCAAACTATGAAGCTGAAATAATTGCACTGGAAACAGCAGTATACCACCTAAAGACTGTAATGGATGTTTACCCTTCAAAGGTCCAAAATATTGTCATCTTCACAGATTCAATGTCTGCCCTTCAAGCTCTGGAGGGCAATGAACGCTTGCAGAACTGACATAGCCAAGATAATCCTGGATGCCGATCAGCTTATTACCTCATACAACATCAGAATAGTGATGCAGTGGATTCCAGGTCACTCCGGGCACACAGGTAATGACAGAGCTGACAGATTGGCAAAGAAAAGGAGCAACTCAAGAACAACCACCTACAGCGACAACCCTCCAGACAGCAAAAACACTGATAAGAGCTATAAACAAAGAGACTTGGTTGAACAGATGGGCCATGGGAGACACTGGAAGAGAGGTTTATAGACATATGTCTGGCCCTGATCCTAATGACAGCATTAACCATCTAACAAGAAGGGACCAGGCCACCATCTTCAGACTTAGAACGCAACATACTCCACTCAATGGACACCTAAACAGAATACAGCCACAACACTCCCCAGAGTGCCAGCTATGTAACTACCCCTACGAAACTGTTGAACACCATCTCTTTGAGTGCCCAAAACTCAGTGAGACAAGAAGAACGCTACTCCCTCCGAGACCAGACAAGTGGAACACCTTGTACGGAGGAAAAGAACAGCTTGTAAAAACATGCAAATTCCACTACATGGCATTGGGCCAAAGGGCGAAAGCTCATGCGCCGCTGGATCGATAACAACAACAACAACTCTACTTCAGTGACCGAAACCACACACGCACATTTCTTTTCCTGGGTCAACAAGGATCTCTCA